TACTTTAGTCAAAATACTCTCACTACTTTGTAAAACTCTTATTTAACACAACACTGTATTTAAAGTCTTTGTAATCCATCTGAATGAGTGCATGAAAATCAACTCATAAGTCTTTTTTTACATTTCTGATTAAATATCCCCACTTCCTGTGGGCTCCCTCATTTTTAAAAGCCCTGGAAACGCCCCTGGCTGTAACTGTTATAATCATTAAATGTGTAAAGTACCGGCATAAGAATGGATAGTTACAAAACTGAACACTGGATTAAAATAACTGCACCTTTCTCAGTAAGCACAATCATTTTAACCGCACAGATATGAAGCTGTGTCCAAAGCTCCCCCCAAACCTTTTAAATAAACCTGTTTAATAAAACCTTTTCAAATCTGCGGTCTGCGCCTCTCACTGCACCTGCCTGCGTTAAAAAAGTCCACACTTTAAAGCAGCTGCGTGTTCATCGTGTTTTCTACCTGCAGAGACTCAGAGCGCAGGAGAGCCGCGGGGCGCAGAAGTCTTCCCGGGATTTCGGAGTGCGTGTTGCGCGTAAAGCTCAGCGGACTCTCGCTCGGGTCCCGAAAGAAGCGGTGACGGGCTGAAATGTCGCGATGCCCGGTTGAGGGTCCGGCCAGACTGCAGCCGACTGCAGCTCTCACACAGACAGGTGTGCGTGTGCAGATCCGTCTGTGCAGTCAGCTGTCGGGACGGAGCTGAGGGTCCCCCCTGCAGGCACGGCGCGGAAAAACTCCAGTTCTGAGTTCATTCATTCAGGCGAAAGCGGGCTCAGTGCACTTTGTGGAATATTCAGAAAAAGAGCCACACGTGACAGGATCAGTGGGCAGACTGCAAACACCATTATGTGATACTGTAGGGGTGTCAAACACAAGGCTCTGGGTCAGATTTTCTACATGTTAAAGAAACACAGCTGTAGTAAAGGAAAACAATCTCAGCCAGATTTGCGCTATAACTGTGTAAAATTACAGAAAATGTGTTTTTCTGTAGTAAAAGTGTCGCAGTGGGACCAGAGAGAAAAGGTGAGAAGCTTTCAGTCCGTTAATTGTTTATTACTCATTACTTTGGTGGGGTGTGAATGGGAGTACGGGGGTTGTTCTCAGCAGGACAAAAATCATGAAAATTAAAAGTTGGAAGTCCAAAATGTTTGCGCTCTTTCATATTTTAAAAATGTCGTCCAGATGGTCACGTTGGAGTCTCTGCTGGGCTGGTTCTGGCCCTGGGCCTCATGTTTGACACTCATAAGGCCCAGTCTTTAAGCAGTCCTGGATAACTAAGACTTCTGCTCCTGCCGTGGAGGCGAGCGATGGGAGGGAAGAGATGTTTTCAGATGTGGTTGATGGAGCTGGAATGAAAATGGATGAATGGATCAGGTTTTAGGTATTAGGTACACCTGTTCACCTGGTCTCCTTAAGACAAACCTTTCATTAGCCAATCACACGGCAGCAGCTCAGTGCATTTAGGCATGACCAGGATGCATGTTCACAGGTTTGACTGCAGAGACGGAGCAAGTGTAACCTGTCTGCAGCTGCTAGTGCTGAGATTCATCACTGACACACACACACACACACACACACACACACACACAGAGTTAATCTGCAGTCTGACAGCAGGTCTGTTAAACTGCAGCAACAATTAGGAGTCTAATTCACAGACCGGCATTCC